ATTGTATACACTGGGCCTACGGTTTATAGTCCTTATCCGAGAAGACTTGTTCTACCACCAGAACCATAGGCGAGCATGCCGTTCGAACCAGCGCCGATATTATGGCTATAGCTTGCGGCGCCCCTGCTAACCGCTCGGCCATTTGACTCACCTATATATATTTACTGTAATCAAAGAGTAGAGAACTGCAAGAGGTCTGATTGTTGGGGTTTCGTTGGAGCATAAACCTATTTCAAAAAGTACTACCACGAAACTAGATGGCGTCCTTCAAAAGCCGAGTTTGAAACTCGCCGAATTTTAATAGGCTCCCCATATATCATGTTAGTACTTTTTATTGTATGCATACAAAATGAGAACTGTCAGACCTCTTGCAATCCTATTCTTTTTGCTGTAGTTTATCATCCTTCGGTAAGATACATTTAAGCTGTTGGTCCCCATTGCCATGCTGGGAAATCCCTACACTTGCCAGAAAAGAGTAGGGATTCTCTCCGAGTGTGGTACAGACCATCACCATCATCACAACTCATTCATCTACTGTGAGCCAGAGGAAGTGAATACCAGTTAAATTCACTGAACAGTCTACCAAATATAAATATAAAGGTATTATTCTCATTTTCAGCAACTTGCAGAAAGTCTGACTGAGGCCTTTGGTGACAACTGGAAATTAAATCCAGAAGATGGTGCTTTTTATGGACCAAAAGTAAGTTTCCTCAATTTATTTTTATGATTTACTACATTTTGTTACATGTTTTGATCCATTAATAAATGGCAGTCCCTTAAGATTTTGATAAACCCACATTCATTCTTTAATCATTGTTAAAAAATTTAAAATCCTGAGCTCTGCAAATTAATAGTGTGATGCTAGACATGCCCACTTAATATTGAAAAATATTGTACAAATATTACCTTCCAAAAAGCCTATATGAGTAATTTTTGTTGATAATGTGTGTGCTCCCTGTAGTCATATTCAAATGCATGAATGACCATACCACATGTGTTCTCTATTGTAGATTGACATCACCATTCAAGATGCATTGAAGCGCTCACATCAGTGTGCTACCATTCAACTTGATTTCCAGCTGCCAATCAGATTCAACCTCAAGTTCTCCAGGTAAATTTGATACTAAAAAGAGTTGTTGCTGAGTGGGATAAGGTACTAGTCTATATCTGGGGATTGCTAGCACAATCCTCTGAATATAATGCAATGATTAAGATTATCCCTTCTCCCTCCCCCATTCTCACTCATGGGAAGATAAATCACACTGTTATAAGAGTTCTTACTGCATTTCATCATCCAAGATTATGTAAGTCAATTTAAATGTATAAAATTTAAATATTCAAATGCACTAGGTTTTCATGGCTTTTACTTTGGTCCATGGTGCATGCTGTAGTGATTCCTTCCAATTTCCCAATCTAGATACTGTACAACCTGTCTTGTAGAACATGATTCACAGTCTTTGTGAAGAAATAGATAATGAAAAATAATTAGTTGCAGATTTTCCTTGAAACTGGCAGCTGAGGTCTTGTTGTGGAGAGTGGAATAACAGCATATTACTTTGCATAACAAAATGTTTTATGTTGTCTGAAAGATTAGCTTTAATGGCACTCTCAATTGGATCCTATAATACCCAGTATCAATCAAAACAAGGATTTATATGTGTACCAGGATAGGCTCGCTCATCTCGCACTGCACGTCTCATTGGGATATTTGCTATCTTTAGGGGTCTTCACAAGCTCGCAGGACATCAGCCATGTCACAAACTGTGTACAGTGTGTATAAAGTAAGCAAAGAAAAGAAGCATGAAACAACTAAAATTTTGAAAACCTAATTATCCTCTCCTTTAAAATAGGCAATATATTTACTACTTACCTATATAAAACGAAAATATTTGCTCATAAATGCAAATATTTTGATTATTTTAAGACTTACCTTTGTTTGACACAGCAGAGATTTATCCCGTCACGTTTTTCTCAATATATAGAGCGCGTGCAGACCTTTGCATTAAGACACCAAAGGTCCCAGTCAGACGTGCAGTGCGAGATTAGCGAGCTTCCTATCCTGGTACAGAAAAGTCCTGGATCAAAATCTTCATTAATTGTATTTGTTATTTTGACATAATTATTTATATCATGCTAGTTTATTATATTATGCTAGTATCATCTTTTATTTTGCGCTAAACAGTAATGATGGCCTGGAAAAACGACCTGTAATCGTGCACCGTGCAATTCTGGGATCAGTTGAGCGAATGATAGCCATTCTTACAGAAAGTTATGGAGGCAAATGGTAAGTGCTTTTTCATAGTCAATTTAAAGTTTGTACTTGAAACCAGTATGAAATATTTAAACAGATTTTTTTTTTTTTGTAAATGTTAACCCTTAGTAATAGTTAATGTATATTATTTATTACCCGTGTTTATTTGAATAAATGCCCCACTTTGAAAAAAAAAAACACCAAAGAAATATGCATTACTAACACTTTTGTAATTTTATACATAACATATTTATTTGAATAAATGCACCGCTTTGAATAAGTGTAACTCCTCCTCAAGCCTAATTTGGAAGAACCGCGTCGTTTATTTTTTGCTCGATTAAAATCCCCCCCCCCCAAAATGACTATAAATGAATATAATGGAAGCAACACATTCCATTAATGTTCTACGCTAGTAGAATTACATTTTCTTTATGATCATGTAAAAACACATTTACACATTCTGACGGTAATTATGTGCTGTAGTTCCACATTTACAGTGAAATTAAGGGGCATTTGTTTGAATACATATATCTATTTTACACTAAAAAAAATAAACGTCTACCTCAAATAAACGCCTCCCTCGAATAGACACGCCCTCAAAACCCTTCTCAACAAGTGGGGCGTTTATTAGAATCAATTATATTTTTCTCTTATATTATGTTTGGGAGTAATTATTATATTTATGTTGTATGGAGTTTGAAGAACCTCTCTTAAAGTGGTTTAATTCACATTTGTGTATACTGTTAGCTTTCTGAAGGCATAGGTTCCTCTCAAAATGTATTTGTTTCTGTGTCCTCTAATATTAATTTTATATACTTCCTATAAATTCATGATGGTTGTAGCACCGTGTTTCTTTGATGTTTATTCTATATATATGTTATTATTGATGCAAAAGAAATGTTTTTCCTTCAAATTTGTTACAGTTCAGGATGCCTGTAATGCTTATTACCATGTGTATTGTTATTAAACATTCTCCCCTTAATGATGATCATACTCAACAAAATATTTCCTTTTATAGTTACAGCATAACACTAGTCTCTTTAATCATCAGTCAATTTATGTGTGTGAGCAGATTCCCTTTAACGAGTGATTAACCGATTTATGTGTCATCTGCCTTGATTATCTCAGATAACACACATTGTAAACCTTAATTACAGTCCACAGACATATATTAGTCACATTGATATCTTAATGCTTATTATCATCAGAAGAATATTTATACTTTTACCTCATGAATGTTAATTAGGTAATATTTCATTGGTCAGTTCCATATGGTAAGGGGTGCGGTAGTTCCTACTACTTCCCTGCACGTGCCAAATTTATGCGTATTTGGGGGAAAAAGTACTACTGAAAATCGACTACCGCAGTCATTCATACGTGAACTGTTTTACCATCACAGATTAAAGTGGTTAATGTAGACAGACAGTCTGCTGTTAAATATTTATGATGAGGTATAGTAAAGCAAATACAATATGATTTAATTTTGGTAGAGCAGTGACAACTACTGTACTTCACTTGTTGTTGGATGATTGGGACTGGAGTCAAAATTATCTGACACCTTCCCTGGGAAGCAGAATTCACTACATCACCCCAAACCATGTTGTATTTGTTTATTACAATACTCGAGAATGAATCCAGGATTTTGATTCTAGGGGCCCAAAGGGAAGCATAGATAATAATAATAATAATAATATCGATTTGAAATGTATTTAGTAAAAACCAGAATCCACAACAGGTATTATTATATTGTTATCATTTTTTTTAGGATAATAATATTTTTACTTATTATCGTTATTTTTTTTATTAACACAAGTATTGTATCACATACATTATATAATATATTTTACATGTTTTTAAAATCAAAACTAGGTATTTCATAAATACTGTTAATTTCAAAAATAATGTCCGTACAGTAAAATTTAAAAAAAAAAACTAATTATTTGAATAATTGAATTGTTCATTTAAATCATTTAAATAAATCAGTATCGTATTGCCACAGTTATTAGCCCTTGCGTAACTATCTGCGTATTGGTGACTATTCAGGGCAGGTCAGAAGTGGGCGACTAATGACATTTATGCAAGGAAAAATGTGGCAATATCTCCACTCATAATTAACAGAATGTATTGACACTAGAGAGGGTCCACGTGCCCATAATTGATGATGATATTGAGTTGATGAAGAGTAGATAATAGAGAAGTACGCAGAGGAAGAAAATTAAGACGAACTGATAACTGACGATTACATAAATGAAGAAGAAATGTCAAATTTTTGGATGACATGAAACTAAAGACTCAAGTGATGTCAATGTCTACTGTATTATCTAGGTTAGAATTATGTAAATTAGCTGTACAATTGTAAAAACATACTGTATTGTTTAATTGTGGCAAAGACAAGCCAAACCAGTCACTAGTCGCAAAAATTGATTTTTAGTTATTAATACCTGGGCAGTAAAATGAAAGCTATAAAATGGTAAAGGAATTATTTAAATCCGACATTTCCGTATGAAGTTATACAAGTATTTAAACAAAGAGCTGTTAAAAACAATATTTGAGAAATCAGCCTTTAAGGTTTATGATTTCGGGTATTTCTCAGGCAAAGATTATCACCAAATCGTTAAAAATTGTTGTTTTAACATTGAAGATGGGGAATATAACAGCATAAAATGATGTATAGATATATAAAGATTAGTTTAATGAAATAAAATAGATTTTAAAAATATTGACATTCCAGCATGTTTTGGTCATTATCTCTGAACACAACTTGCGCCGAGTGACTGTTTTGGCTTGTCTTTGCCACAATTTGTGTGCTATATGTTATATATATACCATATATTTGGTGGTATTTTCATAGTTAGCTAATTAAAGAGATTATAAATACTTGAGTTTATTTATTTCTGTTTACAGATTATGTATACCTTAAAAGCTATTTACTTCCAATGAGAGACAGAAAAAAACTGTGTAGTTTTCTCTATATATATATTGTTAAATGGACAAAAGCATCTATTGCAAAGGAAACAGTATGATTTCTGTGTCTGTTAAGGCATGTTTCTGCTTAATAACGCCAAAACATTGCTTTTTACATACGGTTAAACTCCTTCGGAACGTTTTTTTAGTAAAGAAAATGCAACAATTAAAAACATGGTAATGTAAGAATTGCTGAGTAGGCTAATGATTATCGTCGCAAATTAAGGTTGACCCTACTTTTGCCATGTGCATTAACCAGTTTACTATACTGCTTTGAAATAAACATCGCAAAAGTAAAAAAATAATTATGGTTAGCATGTTACTGATTGGCATTAGCCAATTTCATTTAATATTTGCATGTAAATTGGCAGTGACAGCACTTTTAATCTCCTGTGAAACGATGACTGCCTTTACTTCGCTTAATTTGAGTCACCAACCAGTCATGACTAACACGTTATTGTGTTGCACCTGAAAAGTATACCACAAAACATGTGCTTTCTGAATGCCAGTCCTATAACGATTCTGTGTTAGAACACACATTCCTAACCATGTTTATTTTTTGGCCCGCTTCTGCTGGGGAAAAAGCACATGTTTTTTTAATAGCCATTTAAAAACAGGTCCATATTATTTATTGATGAAAGTTTGTTTCTTTTGAAAGCTATTAACCTACTTAAGTATACAACAAGCAAGCAAAATTCATATACGGTATTAAAGTTTATTGCTCAATTTTATAGCTCAACGCAGTCAGTATTTACAAAAAGATGCTTTAATAGCTGATGATGTCATAGACCTAAAATATGATTTACTCTTACCGTGGTTCTTCAGTAATAGCAAAACCTGTGGCTTCTTCGGTGTATTTCTGCTGTAAAGCACATATTCGATATTGAGTAATGTTTGTTGAAATACCTGTAACTATACCAAATTGATTGGAAATGGAAATTGAGAGTTTTACCATAAATGGTTTGCTAATGCTCCAAAAGGTACTGGCCGCAAACATTTAAGTCTTTCTAGAAATGCTAGGCCTAGGCCTCTGTATACCTACGGCCTGTTTACATTAGGTATGCACGAGAATTTCCGACCTGCAAACTGCGATTTTGACACGTAATAATTTCTGGGCTAGCTAAGGTTTACGAAGCATCACCTAAATTCTAAAGCAAACAAAGCACATTGAACGCTAGAATAGGTAAATAAACACCATCATGAACAATCATAATGCTTTTCCTTGCCAGTTATCTCTCACGTTAAAGGTGGGCGGTTTTTTTCGCGACCATTACATTACGTTTTCCTATACTTTAAAACTGATTGCACTGTAAATTCTCCATAGTAATACCCACTATATGTCATGTTACCGGCTGTAAACAAACCTCGCAGAATGTGTCTATTAGAAGGGAAATGTTCAATGCAAGTGTATATAAAAGTGAGCTGAGCTATTCATTTAAAATATATACCAGGTTTATGGTCTAGGAGGCACTGGTACTTACATTGGTAAATAATACTGTAGCCTAGTATCTGTCTTAAGGTTAGTTTCTTTAAAGAGTATTAGATAATTTTTGTTGCATTTGCATTTAATTTACATGAACCAGTCGTTTATCTTATCACTTAATATAAAATGGTGTGGACTTATTGTGATGAATGGTTCAAAGTGACGATGTAATTATACTAACAAGTATACAGTATTTTAAAAGTACACTTTATTAAAATATTTTAAAAGAATTTAATGAATGCTTTCAATGAATCAAATACTGCCCAATTCACCGTCAGAAGGACCCCACTGGAAACAAATCTTTGACAGTGGGTTTTCCTTTGTGTGATTGGCACCAAAAATACTCCATACAGAACTGCTTGCATTGATAAAACAGGGGTGGATGAGGTAAAAAAAAAGAAAAAAAGAAAGAAAAAGAAAAAAATTATAGCCCACAACGCCTCAAATGTTATTTTCGGGCGTCTAGAACACAAAAATTTTGCGGATGCATGCCCCCGGACCCCCTAGAAACATTGTTGTCTCGATCGGCCCAAATTTCGGCCCCCCCTTTTGGACATCTCTGGATCCGCCCCTGGATAAAATTACA